TTATACACTAAATCTTGAATTTAAAACTAAAAGTCATAGCTAAAAAGGATTCCATAGTTTCAGAAAAATCATACACTAATTAAATTAAAGTAGAACAAAAGAAATAATTTATTTTAAAAAAAAAATCCAAAACACACTGAAGGAGGCACGTCGATATTAAAAGTCATAGCTAAAAAGGTTCCATAATTTCGAAAAAATTATACACTAATTATATTAAAGTAGAAAAAGAAAAAAAATAAATCAGAAACATACTGAAGCAGGCACATCGACGGAGAACTAAAAGTCAGAGCTAAAAAGGATTCTATAATTTCAAAAAATATTAGACACTAATTAAATTAAAGTAGAACAAAAAAATAAATTTTTGAATTTTTTTCCTAAACACGTTGAAGCAGGCACGACGATTTTAAAAGTCTGCTAAAAAAGATTCCATAATTTAGAAAAAATTATACACTAATTAAATTAAAGTAAAACAAAAGAAATATTTTTTATATATTTTTTCCTAAAAATATGCTGAAATAGGCATGTCGATGGAGACGTGCCTGCTTCAGCACTAACTGTCTCTTATATAATAAGTGAATGTTTATAAGTACTAAATTTGATAGTGTAAAAAGGAACTACAACGCCATTGTGCAAAAAATTAAGCTCATTTAAATATTATATCGATGCGCATTGTCGTAAGGAAATCGCTAACACTTTTGTCACAATTAAGAGTTAGCATCAAATTTTAAAATATCTATTTAAATTTAGGGCACCTTATGGAAATAGCTACCATAATTAAAATAATTATTATCCTTAACTTCAATTTTAATAATTACTGACTGTAGCTATATAGGAATGATCGTTTGTATAATTCATTTCTTTTCAAAGTTGTATACAAAACTGAATTCAATTTTTCTTAAGGTAATGGCGCTAATCTCGGTTGAGGAAATGCATACAATGTCGTAATTCGCGGGATATTAAATCATTAGACTTCATACCAAATACACCACATTTCCTTCGTAGTAGCAATCCAGTAATCACACTTTGTTATACAAACTTATACAATGTTATACGTACTTTGAAATTGTTTTAAACTGGAATCGTTGCGCAATTGCATATTCCTCCATTACACACTTTAAGGGTAGCATTATTAATGTATACTTGGTCTACCTCCATTTAAGCTTGTTTGACAATAAACTATACTTCCTAATAAATTGTATAAAAATGAATTATACAAGATACAATCT